CAACTGCATCAACCTCAACCAAACCACAATAACGTTCCCATGTTCGCCAAACCAAAAACAAAAAGGTACAACTACTAACGAACAACCCGTTAGTTAAGTAAAAAAAATCTAGATCTCTTTAAAATAAAACATTAAATTTAAATTTTATAAATAAAAAAATTAAAATTTTTTTACGAGATTTAACATAATTAAATTTAAATTAATTAAAATTTAATATAATTATTAAATATTAAAAAATTAATAAAAAAACACAACCACTAAAGTTGAGAATTTTCTCAATAAAGTTTTTTATTTTTTATTTCAATGATTTTAAAACACAAATAAAAAAATGGTAAAACCAAAGTTAAGCCCCTGAACTAACCCCAGAATCGCTATTAAGCCCCTAAACTTTAATTGATACATATAAACATTTAAACTCTGCTGTCAAAGCAGTTAAGCCCTTCTTCTTACGGGCAACTTAACTGCCGTTTGGACTTGCTCGCATGGCTTAACTGCCGTTTATGGTTGGCTGCTTGGATAGCAAAATATTGCCATGTCATGCTTATATGGCAAGGGATTTAACATTTGAGTGAGATTTTTTACTTATTTGATCATTTAATTTTTTGTATTAAATAAATCTAAATAAAATAAAATCATATATTTGGGTGAAAATATTATTTAAATAAAATCTTAATGTTAAATTCAAAAAATTAAATGATCAAATAAGTAAAAAAGCACACTTTAATGTTAAATTTCTTGCCATATAAGCATGGCATGGCAATATTTTGCCATCCAAGCAGCCAAGCATAAACGGCAGTTAAGCCATCCGAGCAAGTCAAACGGCAGTTAAAGTTGGCGTAAGAAGAAGGGCTTAATTGCTTTGATAGCAGAGTTCAAGGGCTTATATTCATAAATTAAAGTTTAAGGATTTAATAGCGATTTTGGGATTAGTTTAGGGGCTTAACTTATGGTTTTGCATAAAAAAATTCTTAAAAAGAACTTTCACTGCACGCGCTTTAAAAATATCTGTCTTGTTCTGGGCAACTTCTCGTGGAGACCATTTAAGTTTGTCCAAGTCCAATCAATATGTCATGTGGGACACGTCAATCAATGTCTTTAGTCAAATTTAGAGGATCGGCAGGCATCGCGCGCTTTTGCAAAAGGTACACCGGCAGTCGAACGACTCGAACGATTATGCGCGAGTTGCCAGTTGTCCTTCTTTTATACTTTCCGACAAAGAAGAGGAGGAGGAAAAGACACAACATGCATGATTTTTTTAACTCAGTTGAGAATATCGAGGACCCAAATTAATATGAGTTTTTTTAATAAATAATGATATATAAAATTTAAATTT